AGCGGAGCGGAGCGGCGGCACACGTGGGCCGGGGGGCGGGCAGCCGCCGCGCCACGTGCGCTCAGAGCCGGCCCGCGGGAGGGGCGGGGGCAGCGCTGCCGGGAAAACACGCGTGGGGAGCGGTGGGGTGCGGGGTTCGGCAGTGGGGTGCCACGGGAACGTCCGTCCCCGCTTCCATCCGTTTAGCATTCCCTGGCTAAGGAACGAACGGAGCGCCCTGTAATGAAGGTTTATTCTCATTTCTGTATTGCTGTGGCTAGAGCTGGGGGAGAGCTCAAGGAGATCTGACAGCTTCAGCAGTGGGTGCCGAAGGAGTTCCCCAACTGGGAAGCATTAGCTCTTGCTAGCAGGTAATCTCGTCTTGAAACTGTTGGGTCTTCCCTGGTCCAATATCCGGACAGTCTTGAAACAGAAAAAAAAGTCACCACTGATGTCTGTGATGGGCTCACTAAGAGCAAAACAGGATGCCTGCAGGAAAGCATGATAGAGTTCCCCCAAATTCTCTGTGGTTGCAGGGAGGGCACGCAGATGCACAGCAGGCTGAGACATTCCTGCATCCTTTTCCATCCTTCTCCATTCCCCGTGTTCCCAGCAGGGCAGAGCCGTGTGACACCAAAGGGTAAGTGCCAGGAGCCCCACGAGCACTGAGCTTTTGGTTCTGGTAGGAGACACTCTTCTCCATCTCCAGAAGAGGCAGTTTTTTAATTTTTATTTCTTTATTATTTTATTTTATTTTATTATTTTATTTCATTTTTATTTTATTTTATTTTATTTTATTTTATTTTTTTCCCCGAAGTTGATGGGTTCCCTGGGATTCCGGTGGCTGTGTGTTCGCTCCTTCTGTTAAGCAGGTACCCGCAGCACGTTCCTTCCCGCAGTTTCCTGGTGCCCCGCGCTCCCCGGCCGCTGATCCGGCTTGCGCTGAGGCCGCGGCGTGCGGGAGGAACCACCAGGTGGCGACGTCTCTCCGTGCTGCTGCTGCTGCGGGCTTCGGTGGCTTTTCCGCCCTTCGCTCAGAAGCAGGAGCAGATGCAGCTTGCTAGCTTGCTGCCCACCGGCACCGCTCAATGCACGCTGGCAGAGCCGCCCCATGCATTGGAGAGGCAGCTTCCCCCTTTGCAGGAGGCACAGCACTGCTGACCTCATCAGGATCCCACCTCGTGCGTTGACGTGGAATGAAGTCACCGTGGAGCTGGGACCCGGCAGTGAGCTGCAGGGCTGTGTGTGACAAAGAGAGCAACCTGAAGACAGGGGACTGCGAAACCTCCATGACGTGCTTTGGAAAAATACGTGGTCAGAGGGTGAATACGCAGAGGAGAAGGAATGCTCAGTTTGGGATGAGCTGCCCTGGTTCTGCAGCCCCAACCGCCATCTGTTGCGCTGAGCTCCGTCTAGCTCAGGCCGTAACTGTGCTCTCACCAGATGTTAGCTTACATGAGCTGCATGTAAAAGTGAACTGGTGCGAGAGCTGTGGCCCGAAGTGCTTTCAGTAGGGTCTGACCTGCCGCAGTGACGACGTGCTAGCCGGCCTCTCGCTGCGGGGATGCGCTCCAGAAGTCGCAGGTGTGTGGCTGGAGCTTGGTCAGTGAGTCAGGATAGGAAATATCTTCCAAAGCTCCAAATAAGACAAAACAAACTGAGCTTTAGCACATGCTCAACCGATTGAGCCTTTGGCAAAGTATGACATGAATTTTCAGGGCTCTCACTGAGGCTGCATCTTGCCTGCTGCGTCCTTCGGCGCCGATCCTCCAGAACAGGGTGAGGAGCTGCTGTGGGATGGCCGTGGGGATGGAATCGTTAGCAATTCCAGATGATGATGGGAAACAGAAGGAGTGAAGAAAAGCCGGATTGATCTATTTATTTATTTTTTTTCCTCCAGAAAGTGGGAATAAAGCTACGAGTGCAAAGCTGGCTGCTCATGGAATATCTGCAGCGTGATTGGCACTAATGCTCTGCAGCCAGTGGGAGAAGATACGTTACCCAAGTAAGTGAAATGAGCACCGAGATGGGGGATATATGATAACTTCTGAAGCAGAAGGAATAAGACCTCAGGCAACAGAGCTCCAAACAGCACGCTGTCTTTTTTCCATTTCTGAGCCCGTGGTGTTCAATTAACCCCTTTTCTCTGTGCTGCGTTCTCTGTCCTGCAGGCTTGCAGAGCTTTACCCACCCTTCTGGCTGATGACATGTTAAACACTTGGTTTGCGATCATCAATTTTCTCCTGAAATGATACCCAAAGCTCTGCTGTTTTGATTTAAAGTGATTTCGAGTCTTGTAGTTAACAGTTAAGGATGGTCCTGTCCAAGAGAATCTAACTTGAGGAAGCCATGAAATTTAATTCATTTCTGCAACTTAAATATATAATCAGTGACATATGGGAATACTAAATACGGGGGGAAATGTCATTGCTTAAGTAAAATTTCTGCATTCAGTCAAAACCCAGCAGTTGTAACATCAAACTGTAGTTTCCATTGTACAGGAAATAAAGCATCATTTTTTCAAAGAAAATAGACATGCAATTGCATGCCTGTTATGTTGCTTATACAGCTTTATGCTTAATTTTCTCCACGTTGCTGTTAGTGAAGGGCCAACAGAAGGGAAACTGAAGGGAGAAGGAACAACGCGATACACCGAGCCTGCTGGAACGTGCCCAGGAGATGGCTGTGCTGGGAACACAGGCTCTTTCCCTGCTGTTGTCTCTGTGCCTGGACCAGGGGCACCGTGCTCCATGGGACCTTCCCCAGAGGGAGCTCTGCAGCTTATGGTTACACGAAAGATTCTGATTTTTTTCCTCCTCCCTCACCCCAGCAGTGTCTCCAAGAGCCTTTTGGCTGCTGCTTCTTCCGCTGAGCTCCAGCTCCTCATTGGTCTCCGCACACAGCCCCTTCCTCTCTCTCTGTAATTGCCTTGTTTGCTCCTCCAGCCTTGCACTTCATCCATCTTCCTATTTCCCCTCTCTGATCTACTCCTCATGGCCGCTTCCTTCAGTTTTGCTGCTGGAATGTGAAGCATCTCTCCAGAAAAATAGAAGGTCTCTGTGAACTTTTACCACCCCCCTGTATTCCCTCTCCTTCACCTCTATCGTCTCCTCGCAGATGGTGGGACAAGCGCTCACATTCGTTCTCAGGCTTGTAACATTGGCGCGTTCCCTTCCTTTGCTTTTTTCACATGATGATGTGAAATGAGGATAATTCTGCCCATTTCTCTGCTCCTCAGGGCTGGGCTCAGTTTGAGGAAAGTGCTTTTGAGGCTGTTGTGATGCTTGGAGCGCTGCTGTTGCTTTTGTCCCCTGACTACGGCTAATTGCGGCCACATTTGCTTCTACTCAAGATAGGAAAGACAAAAGCTGCATCAGACGCAGCCATCGATTAGCACAGCTCTCGGGTTTGAAGGGCATCATCTGCCTGAAGGCAGCATTATACATCGAGATATTCCCTGCCATTATCTGCTTATTTTCTTTTCCTTTTTGCTGAAGAGGCACCGGGCAAAGGGGTTTCTGTCTGCTGGGAGGGCACCTGCCTCCCCAGCACAGCCTTGTGGGAATTGCCCAGCTCAGCTTTTCGGAGCCCTGGAGCACCTGCTTGAAGGTGGGCACCTGGGAGCAGCTTGTTCTCTCCAGGGGCAGCCCGGCAGAGTGTGGGCCCCTGGGTTGGTCAGACCACGCACTGAATCAGATGGATGGAGGGAAGGAAGAAGAAGAGTTTATTCTGCTGGAGCAGTGGTACCAAGCTGCTCATGGCATAAAGTTACACAAAGAAAAAGAATACATAATTCATCATCAACTGCCTAAAATCTAGCTTTCTTTCTTCTGTGTCTTGTTGTGTGTCTGCCTGCAAACCCACAGCCTTCATGGGACTGCTGCCTCCTTTTTGTTCCCGTCCTTCTTTTTTATAGCTCTCTTAGGCAGCTAAGGAGGGCGGGTTAACCCTTGAAGGAAAGCCCAACACCGCCGTGCTATGGCCACATTTGGAGGTACCACTCTGTGCTCCTTCCACGCTGGTGATAATGCAGGCGCAGCATTGCCAGATGTGCTGTCCGGCCAGGCGGTCGTGGTGATGGATGCTCTGCTCCTTGCATGCAGGAAGGGGGAAGCTCTCCGTGGGTTTGCCTTCCGCATGCTGGTGCGGGGCTCCCCTCCAGCCAGGCTTCCTAGGGCAGACAGATGGTTTTGCTTGTTGCAGAGCTTCACAGGACACCTCCATTAAAGAGCAATGCGTGGATACCTCACTAAATCAAGCTGCTGTCTGTTCACTCAGGTGATACATCGGCATGGTAGGAAATGGTTTCAGCAGCAGGGTTCATGCTGTGCAACACCAACCTTCGGGCACTGGTAACCTCAGGAGGTTGCATTCCAGACATTAGGTCTCTTGCGGTGAAATAGATGGACGCTGCAGTGCAGAAAGAGCAAAAAAAACCCCAACACCTCAATAAAAAGAACTGGCTGTGCTGTTATGGGGTCTGATGGCCGCTTTTGGTGTCCTTGCTCCTCTCAGAAATCATTTGAGGAGAATAGAAATCATTTGGGGAGAACTCGTATGTCAGGCCGGGGTGCAGGGCAAGCGTTTAAGAGTCTGAAAAGAAAAGCTTTTGAGCAAATTGTCTACGGATAGCATTCTTTATTTTCACTAGCTGAGTTTTCTCCTTGATGGCTTCTTTGAGAGCATCCATAACTCAGGTTTACTTGACAGCAATACAGAAACAGACATGGTTGATATCTTGGGAATCAAAGACATGACGATTTTTGTTTTTTAAAAAGGCTGTCTAGCTTGTTTTATCCTTCCTAGCCTAATGGAGGTTTGTTTGGTACAGCACATCCTCTGACCATAATAACTTTCATCCTTTATGAGCAGACGTTTATTTTCTAGGGAACTCAAAACGTCTCTCCTGAGGAGGTTTTTTCCTATTTTCCTTTGGGCTGACATGTACAGCTGGAGACCTCCGTTTAATTCATCTTCTAGAGGCTTAATTTATCTCCTGATTCTTTATTCCTTCCCTCTGTCAGCCCTGCCGCATAGAGGTGGAACCCTTCCACAGCCGCTCGGATCATTTACAACAGCCACTTCCACAGGCAGTAGCGAGGCAAAAATCGAAGTGAGCACCTCTGATAACAACGTTAGCTGCAGATTTCAGCGTTTGTGAGCTGCAACTGACTGGGGGGGTGCCAGACATTTGCAGACACACACAACAAGACAGGCCCCTGCTCTGATCGGCTTGTAAATGAAAGGAAAGTACATTGGCAGGAGCAGAAGGGATGATACGACATGCTTTAAATAGTTTATTGGGAGCTGGAGGATTGCTGTTTATTTGGTGACGTTGGGAAAATATTTAATGTGCTTCACTTAAACTTAAACTCTTTATAGCAGTGCTTCTCCTCCCCCGGTTTTCTTTCCCAATGACTGTTTTGGAGATTAAAACCAGCACGTTGAGAGTAGACAGAAAATAGAGAAACATACTTCCAGATCGACCAGAACCGCGAGTAAATCTTCATAGATACTTCTTTTCTTTTTTCTTTTTTCTTTTTTTTTTTTTTTTTTTGTTTTTTTTTGGGTGTCCCTTTTTTTGAGCGAGCCAGGCTTTCGAAAGCAATTATGGTAACAGAAGAAAGGAGCGGCGCTTCGCACGGCGGAGCCAGAGCCGCTGCTGTAAGCTGAGCTCCGAGCGCCGCTGCGCTCCGGCAGTGACACCGGCGTTGGGGCCGCCCCGTCGGACGGCTCCGCCCGTGCCCCGACGGCAGCGGCGACCCCGACGGGAGCGCTGCCCGAGCCCTGCGGCCGCGTGTGGGCTGATCCCAGCGCCGGAGTCCGCCTTCAGAGCGGGGACGGGTTGCGAGGGGTGTTTCGTGCTAAACACGTTTCTCCTCCGAAGTATCGTGTTTGTAACGGAGAAGGCTAAGCGGGGTGATTTGTTTTCTTTCCTGTGCTTCACTGTGTAACACGTCGGACTTTCGTTTTGAAATAGAAGCAGGGGGAGAGAGATTAACTTTCGGCCTGCAGTCACAGTGCTTATCGGCCAACAGATGACGGTGAAGCTCTGCTATCTTTTGATCATACAGAAAACAAATAAGCAACAATAAAAAAAGACCAACAAAAAATAAATATCACAAAACAAAATAATAATAATAAGCCCAAACAAACAAAGGAGACAATATGGGAACTCGTGTCCCTCGTTCGGAGGTGACCCACAAACTACTGCCTACTGCCGCTCCGGGGCCAGCGAATTGCTATTGCAAACTGCGGCTGAAGCGTTCTCAGCCGAACACAACTTTCCAACCTTAAATTGCCTTCTTCCTGTCCCGGGATGCCAGGGCTTTGCACAACTGAAATTGCACGGCCCTTTCCCCCGGATCCTCTTACTTCCACAGCGCTCCATCCCCGCTGCCTGCCGCCGGGCACCGCGCGCTGCTTTTTGTCGCCGGGTGCTGCGACGTGATCCTCGCTCCCCGGCTGTGTCCCCCCCAAATCCTACTTCGTGCACCTCCCGCCGAGCCCTCGCAGAGGCAGGGGTTGCCTCATCCTTTCGCCGTACGTCGCTCCCCACCGCCCGCTCGGCTCGGGTCGGCCCTTCCGTGCTGTACACCGGGCCCAGGCATCCCTCGGTGTTGTTTCCTCGCCTCTTTTCTCTTCGCAGTCCCGGCCGCCCCCGGCCTCGGAATGCGCTGCCCGCAGGTGGGTGCCGTTCCCTCGCCGCTGGGCCCGGGCCCGTGACCAGCAGATGGAGCTGCGGGCCCCGGCCCCTGCGCTGCGGGCGCCGACGGCAGCGGGCCCGGCGGGCGCGGCACGAATCAGGCCGGACGCGGCCCCGTTCTGTCGCCGGGCGAATGGTGCCGGGGCGGAGCGCGGCGGCAGCGGAGGGCCCAGGTAGGGCGCGTTACGGTGCTCGCCGGCGTGCGGAGCCCGGGGCTGATCTGGGAGGCGGCTGCCGGCGGGCCGGGATGCCCGCTTGGTACGGGCACTCGCCGAGGTGTGAGCCCCCACGAACCCCCTGCTCGATGTCACCAACATCCGCTCGCCGGCGGCTCCCGTCCGGCGATCCCGGTCCTCCAGGCAGCGGCACCGGCTCTGTGACACCGCAGGTCCCACCGAACCGCGTCGTTTTTTTGCGCCACCGATGCGGCCGTTTCCGCGCCGGACGCATCCTTCGTGACCCCTCGCCACGCTCCGCCGCGGGTCGAACACCGGCGGGTCCCGAGGGCGGCAGAGGAAGGCAGCTGCCGTCCCAACTCCCGCGGGCTGCTTCCCCGCTGTATCCCAGCGGCCCCCGTGCGCCGGCCGGGCCGATCCGGGGGTTCCGGCGCGAGGACTCCGCGCTCCCGCTGCGTCCGTCGCGTTCCGCGCTCAGCCTCGGTTCCCGCAGCCCAGCACCGCGACCCGAAGCGGGCCACCCCGCCGCCTTACCGCTCCTCGCTACCGAGCTCCCCGGGGTCCCGGGCTCCGGTCCGGTTCGGTCCCTCCGGGTGCCAGGGCGAAGCGAAGCTCGGAGCCAGCGAGTCTCGGGAGGGCCCCGAGCCGAGGGGGTTAAACCGGGAGCCTCCCCTTACCTTCAAAAAGTTAAAAATGTCTGGAGCCTGCATCTCTTAAAGGGGCGGTGCTGGCTGCAAGGAGTCTTGGCACCGGCTGCGAGAAAGGCTGGTCAGGGGCGTGAGTTCCCCTCCACCAGCACCAAAACATTGCAAAAAAAGGCAGAGCGCCCCACACTTTAGATAAGGACAATTAGCCACCAGCGAGCCCCTGCAGACAGCGAGTTAATTAGGGGTTTCCTGCTCTCCGGCATGCCCTGTCCCAGCTCCTGTCCCCCCGGGCTCCTAGCGCTGATGGCACCTGGGCTGGCCCTCATGGCCACCTTCTCGCTGCCCTCCCAGGCCGGGGACAGGAGAGCGCTGCCGGTGGAGAAATCTCCAGGTGTGAAGGGAAGGACTCTCATTCTCCTTGATGTCAACACCAAGAGCCCTGTCAGGATAATCAGTGAGAATTTCCTCTCCCTGCAGCTGGACCCCTCCATCATTCATGATGGCTGGCTCGATTTCTTAAGGTAAGGCGGGAGCCCCCCCGGCGCCCTCCCCGTGCCGCCCACCCCGCCGGGCTCCGAGCTGCCCGCGGCGCTCGTTGAGGCGGAGGGAGCGAAGCCATGGTTTCCATTAAGATGCACATGTTTGCAATGGAGAAAGCATTTCGGAGACTTATCAGTTATGACTGCAAAAATGTCGTGCTCCCCTCCGCTCCAACAACAACAACAACAAAAAGAAAAAAAAAAAAAAAAAGAAAAAGAAAAAAAAAGAAAAAGAAAAAAAAAGAAGAAGAAGCACAACATGGGGCCGAGGCAGCGCAGGGAGAAAAACCCCTGCACCAGGAACCCGCAGCAACGGGTGTCGGCCAGCTGCTCCGCACCCCACGTTCCCCGCGCTCCCCGGGCTCCCGGAGGACGGAGCCGGGTTGCGCATCGCTTTGGGTGCCGAGCTCAGCGGCCTGGAGGCACCGGGCCGGCCGGAGAGCACCGGTCCTGCTGGGTAAGTCGAGAAGGAAGAGCGAGTTCTCGCTCCGAAGGTCCCGCTCGGTGCCGCCTCCGCCCCCAGGGAGCCGGGAGCCGGTGCCTCCGCTGCACTTGTCCGGGGGGTTCCGGGAGGGCATAGCCGGGGTCTGCCGGCCTCCGGACCCCGCTGCCAGCGGGCGGGGCGGCCCCGTTCCCTCTGCCGAGGTTGAACCACAGAGCCCCGCAGCCGGACGCTGCTGAGCGGTGCCCGCGCCGCACCGCACTATGCTATGCGATGCCGAACCGCGCCGAGCCGGGTGGGGCGGCCGGGCCGCGGTGAGAGCTCCGGATCCCCGCACCGCGCTCCCTTCTCCCGCTGCAGCCGCCGGGCCCTCCCCGCACCGGCACCGTCCCGTAGCTTTCAGCCCGCTCTCCTCCCCGCAGCTCCCGGCGGCTGGTGACCCTGGCGAGGGGCCTGGCCCCCGCCTTCCTGCGCTTCGCGGGCAAGAGGACGGACTTTCTGCAGTTCCACAACGTGAAGAACCCGGCCAAGAGCCGCGGCGGGCCCGGCCCCGATTACTACCTCAAGAACTACGAGGACGGTGAGCGGGGCCGCGGGCCGGGCGGGGGGCGGGCGCGGCTGCGGGGGCTGCGGGCACCGCGCGGTCCCGTTCCGCTGCTCGGGCTCCGCGGCTCCGGGCGCGCCGTGCGCTCCGCCGGGCAGCGCCGCACCGGGTGGGGGGCTCCTCCTTCCTTTCCCTCCCCTTGCCGGTGTGGCCGGCGGAGGAACAAAAGGCCCACGGAGGGAGTCGTCCCCCGGTATTGCGGGTCGCGCCCCGCTGCTTTTGCACCGCTTCTTCCTCGATCTTCCCGGACCCTCTGGTGCTCCCCGGGAGCTCTGCCTTTCCCTAAGGACCCCGGCGTTGTTTCCGCGTTTCTCCGTGCAGCTGCGGCCCCGGGGCTCCCCGCAGCCCGGCCCGGCTCGGTGCCCGTCGGTGCCTGGGGAGCCGCTCTTTCTCCGCAGCTCCGTGCCACCGGGCCCTGCCCGAAGTGACGGCGGCACCGCCTTGTCCCGGCTCTGCCTCGCTCCCTTCCTCCCCGCTCTGTGCCCTCCTCCCAGCGGTTCCGCAGCTGCACGAAAGGTTTTCACCTTTTGCGGCCCTTGATTCACACAAAGAAACCTCGCAGACAAGTCAGGGCCAACGCTCCTATTTTGAGAAGCAGAATACCATGTCCGAGTGCAAGAATTTATTGATTTGTCCTTTTTTTTTTTTTTTTTTTTCTCCTTAAAAAAACTTATTTTCTTACTTACGACTTAACAAAAATTAGCAGAAGATATTTCCATAAGTGATTTTCGAGGGCCAATTAATGCCAGACAGATCCCAGCGGGCAGGTCAGTGGAGCAGAGGAAGTTTTGCAGAAATCCAGTCGGCAGCTCAGCGCTGAATGGAAAAAGCAGACGTGTTTGCCAGTTTTCTGATGGCTTTCTGTTCCTCCAGTAGTGTTTGATCTCAGTGAGACCAATGTCCCCCAGCCCCACACGCAGGCAGGTGGGTGATGTGTGTGCTCCGTCTTTGCTGAAGCAATCCCCATCCCATCACTTGGTTTTTTTCCTTCTCGTAATTGATCTCTGGTGAGGGGTTTGCTGTAAGCTCTGCCCACTGGGATGAATTTCATGCTGACCAAACCTGCAGCCATCTCGAACAGAAAACTTCAATGTAGTGCATAAAGGCATGGATGAGATTCACGCTAAACATCGGTAGGAATAAATTTCCCTGCTTCAGCCCAAAGGTCAATATTTCAACAGCCTGCAGGAGAGAACTTACACTTATTAAATGTCTTCACAGCAGCTTTCATGTTAGAGAAGGACTGAAAGCTTTTTTTTCTTTCTTTTTTTTTTTTTTTTTTTTTTTTTTCTCCCAGTTTTCCGCATGGCAATAAAGTTGAAATGTAGCAGTCCTTCAAAATGAAGCTTCTCATAGAAGTTGTAACCACAGGTCTTAACTTTTCATCACTTAAATATGGAACAGAACCATTGCAAATAGGAGTGAGGGAGGGAGGGGACACATGTGGTGTGTATCAAGCATCAGTGTAAATCAGAAAGGTGTGGTAAAAAGGATTTCCTGCCTGGAAGCAAAGCTTTCTTATTTGTTCTTAAGATCTGTGTGCAAACTCCGAGGCTGGAGTTGCTGGTAGCTCCCATCTTTTCGCGCTTCGCTCGGGGGATCCAGTTCTCCAAAATGAAATCCTGGTGCCACTGCAGCTCTCTGCCCCACTGCGCTGGATCCGAGCAGCCATGTTCTCCTCTCGGAGCACTGCTCTGCTTTTTGCTTCCTCGTCTACAGCCTATCTGGGACCCGCCTGCTCTCAAGGCATGCACAAATGTGAGGGACTTGTGGGCTGAGCAGACCGCATGGAAAAAGATGGCACCCAGTGCCTGAGCCTGGGGAAGGCAGCGAGTGTCCTCTTGTCCCCATTGCCCTGCCTGCAGTTCCCGGGCTGACTGGGGCTGCTTTCCATGTGCAGTGTTCTTGTCCCCTCATCATCTGTTTTCTGAAATTTCTTGTCTAATCTACAATCTAGCTTTAAAAAAAAAAAAGGCAGAAAATGATTAAAAGAGAAGTCTGTGAATGTCTTCAGTCTGACCTTCATGGTTTTTGGTGATGTAACAAGTGACAGATCATTGTTTTCTGCTTTGAGCGTTTGCCTCTGTGCACATCCCATGGCTGCTGGGAGACAGCACAGAGGTCTATTGGTTCAATTCACAGAGCTGGAGGGCTGTGTCATTTTTGGTGGCTGTTTGGCAGGAGTTCACCAGGTCTGTCCATACCAGGCTGAGGGCAGGAGTTCACCAGGTCTGTCCATACCAGGCTGAGGGACTTGTCTAAGCTCTTTCCTATGGGAAAGGGGTTGGTTGAACCACAGGGTGTTGAAGGCAGCATGTCTATACGTATCCTCTGACCTTTGCCAAGAGCTGCAAGGCCATCTAAGTGATCTGTTATATTATTTGGCCATGGCATTGCCTTGCCTGAGGTCTGTTCTCAATAGAAAACCAGTTTGTCACACACCGAGCCCTGCGGTACCAGGAGGTGGGGCTGTAGGGGAGACTTTTTGACACTTGCTGATCGAGAAGTGCAATGCTTTTGGCCTGGGAGACTTTAGCCTCCCTTAAATGGAATTTCTGTGTCCGTGCCCCACTGGGCTGGTTTTCCCTCACAGTCTGTGTTGCAAATTGTGCTCTGTTATCTGGGGCTGCTTCTCTCCAGCCACTGCCTGACCTCTGAGCAGGTACTAGATCTCATGTTCAGTCTGCAGCAGACCAGCTTCTCCTTCTGCTGTGGGGTTGCCTACTGGGTAATGCACTTGGCTGTCCTTCCAGCCGCCTCACGCGTTGCCAAGGACCACTTGGCTTTGAGGAATGGGACAATAAGAAACAGTGGTCACTAGGGAAACAGCCTTGAGCAGCTCCTTTTTGGGGCAAGCACATGGGGCTGTCCATTTGCCCTGGTAATGGTTGCTGGGAGCATAAACACAAAGCTTCTTCTGAAGCTGAGTTTGCTAAAACCCTGTCTGTGCTGCCCTGGAGCCTGGTGTTGGGGTGTTTGGTGGGGTTTGAAGGCTCTTCCATTGGCTCAGCAAGGAGTGCTGCTGGTGACACCTCACAGCAGCAGAGAGCAGTTTTGGACACCTCCTGGTGGCATGAACATTAGAGTTTCCCTCTATGCTGTGAACAGAAAACTCAAGGGAAAAAGTGACGTTTCTTGGAACTGGAGTTCTTGGGGATGTGTTGGCCCAAGTGCCTCGGTGGGTTCTCCATACTTTTGTAGCTCGGAGTGTTTCTGTGGCTGATGGAGACCAAAGGGCATTTGCCACACACAGAAAACATGGCCCTGTGTGGGTCGTGGGAGGCAGAGGTGAAAGGGAGCACATACACGTGCTGTAGGTAAGGCATAAGAAAAGGTGCTGAGCCAAAGTGTGTGTGGACGATGCATTTCAAAAATGCTCTCTCAGTTGCTGCTAAGTTACTTTCTTCTATTTTATTTCCTTTTTTGGAAGGATAGTGGGCATCTGGAAAAATGGGCAGTTACCACAGAATCCTGGCAAAAAACATGTTCCTCATGCCTTCCATACTAATTGGGAGATTTTGCCTTATGGTGCTACACTGTAATTCTGGCGCTGGCTATTGGGCTTCCTGTGCATGCTTTCATCTCAGGATCCCTTCCTTCTGACACCATCAGACACCTGGCATTGTCAGGACCCTGAGCCACCTTGTGCACAGGGGAATGCCGTACCCCCTGCTGAGCCTGTGCTGTGCAGGCTGCCTCTAGGTGCTATGCTTTCACCTGGATATTAGAGCAGAGCAGTGAGGGCTCAGCATTGTATGGGGATTGCTATTCTGGCTCCACAGCTCAGCCACCAGCAGGTGTTTCCCAGTGAGATGGGTCATCCTCCTGTCCCTGTAAGAAGAAGCCAATAGATAAGCTGCCTTCTGCAAGGTAAGGAAGGCACTATCTATGAAGGAGATGCTTCCAAAGTATGTTTATCTCCATTTTTGGTTTTAAATTTTGAACAGTTTTGCAAGAACCGTGTGTGAAAATTGCTTTATAAGTGCAGGAAGTGGCGCAATCAGACAATGAGCTCCTGATTATCCATTTGCTGGTGTATGGGTGAGACTAAGGATTCCTGTGGTTATATGTTTGATTGCTTCTAATAAGTATCCTAAATTCTCTACAAAACCTTACCATTTTTTTGCAAGTTCAGCACTTCTGTCTATGAATTAGAAATGATTCATGCAAAGTAACATGCTCAGGGGAAACACGTGTGGCTTCCTATGCAATTGGATTGTGAGCTGGCTGTTGCCAATCAGGGAAAATATTTTGAATTTATCATGGATTTTTTCGTTGAATACTTTTAAGGAAGTGAAGAGTGAATCAGTGTATTCACATCGGGAAAGAAGCCTGCTGAGGGCATTCTTATGCTACAAACACACTGTGCTATAGTGGGACCACATGGATCAGTGTAAAGAATACGTATGCGTGGAGTAAGGTGATGGAGGTGGTCAGGATCACAGCTTTCAGACATAGATATCGGCGTGTTATTAATTCCTTGTTTTCATTACAGAAGAAATAGGCAGCATCCAACGGCATTATTACATATAAAACAAACAAATACGATTTTTTTTTATCTAGCGCAAAATATTTTCTGGAACTCATTGTCAGGGAATTTTCCCGTCTAAAGGAAAGGAACGAGACGAATCTGTCAGAGAATTTCCTATTGAAGACAGACACGGAGAGGATGCACACAAATGCGACAAAGCCGACGCGCTCGGTGCTGCTTTCCAACTTCTTCCATTTCCCCTCGGTGCACCCGGGGATCCCGCGGGCTCCTCGTGCCGCGGGGCCGCCAGAGCCGCAGCTCACCTGGCCGCCACACGGGTGTGCTCCCTCCATACCGCACGGCGGCTCCGGGCCCGGCTCCGCTCCGCCGCCGCGGGGACGCCGGGGGACGCGGTGCCGCCGGGAGAGGAGCGGGCAGCGGGAGCCGGGGCTGCGGGAGCCGCGCTGCGGGATGCGCCCGGCCGTGCCCCGCCGAGCGGCGCGGGGCTGAGCTGGCCAAGGTACTGACCCGGCCCGGCCCGGCCCGGCCGCTGCCTCTCGAGGCACACGCAGCTCGTTGGTCTGCCGGCTTTGGAAACCATTTGGCGTCCTCTGGGGCTCCCACATCTGGAGTTCTTCTTTCTCACTTCTGGCAAGAGTCGCTTGGTTTCTTGTTTTGCTGGGTATTTTTTTTTTCCCCCTTGATTTTATTTATAATTGTGCGTGTGTGTGTGTGTGTGTTGGTTTTTATGGCTGCTCTGCGTTTTGGAAAGCTGTGTCCCGCTCAGGGACTGCCCTGCCCAGAGCCCCCCGCGGGATCCTTCTCCTCACACCCCCTGTGCCTTTCCCCTTTCTCTCACTTACTTTTAGATGTGATCACTGTGAGCTTCCTGCTGGCTCTTTTCCCTGGATTGCTCTTGCTGAAGTTCTCCCTGAGCTCCTACAGCAGCTGTGGCCTCTTCCCCTGGTGCTGCTGGTTCGAAAGAGAGGTGTAGAATCATGGAATCACAGAATGGTTGGGTTGGAAGTGACCTCAAATACTGTCCGGTTCCAACTCCCCTGCTGTAGGCAGGGGTGCCAACCACTACATCAGGCACTAGATCAGGTTGCCCAGGTCCCCATCCAACCTGGCCTTGAACACCTCCTGGCATGGGGCACCCACAGCCTGTCTGGACAGCCTGTGCCAGTGCCTCACCACCCTCCATGTAAAAAATTTCCCTGACATCTGCACTAGAGGTGCTTTAACCTCCTCACCTGCGCTGTGTGTCTGAATAAACAGGCATCAGGTTCTTTGGGAATCCCATATCCCATGCATCTACCCACTGTTTAAGCTAGAGCTATAGTGGATATGGGGTCCACCTCCAGTTTTAAGTCTTGGGCAAATCCCTTGGGTCCTTAGCTGTGAGAAGCAAGGACTCTGCATACTCGCCTCTGCTTCCTGCTCACATACAGTAGGAGCTTTCTGGGAAGTCTATGAAACTGGCTGCCAGAAAAGCATCCCCACTTTCTGTGCCCTTCACATCTTCTCTATCACAACCATATCCCTTCCTGAGCATGTATTCACTGGGACCTGCAGTCCCCAAAGAGGGAGGCAGGATGCTAGATGTTGAGGAGCCATGTAGCACCTGCTGCCACATCCCCCTGCACTCTCCAAACTGCTTCCTTGGTCCCTGACTTCATGGTGAGGGATCCTGGTCCAAGGGTGATACAGAAAGTTTGTCCCACTGTTGAGGAGCCCATTCTGCCTTTTCACCAAAGCCTTTAAAATTATTTTGAGGCCTTTGCAAACCTTACAGAAATGACTTATTCTCCTCAACCCTCCCCACGGATTTCTCACCCTTTGGTTCCTTCATCATCCAGCAAACAAGCCAACTTGTTACCCAGGCTCGTATAGACCCTCAACTCCATGGCAGCTCCAAAATCCTGCATCGCTTGATGTGAGGGACAAATTAGGCAGCAGCAGACCAGGTGATGCTGAATGTCTGACCTGACCCACAGGACATGGCCTGAAGAAGTTCCCTACAGCCAAGACAATGTGGCCAACAGCCTTCCACCCACATTCAGTGCGGGTTCCCTACCAGCCCAGGACATCACTTGGAGCCCAGATTTGCAGAATCTGAGATCTGGCTCTGACATGAGCGTGGCTATTGGAAAACACTTGGGCATGGTGGTGGTGGGTTGATGATTGGACTGGATGATCTTAGTGGTATTTCCCAACCTTAATGATTCTCTTCTATGATTTTAACTTCACAGTTCCTTGGTGTGCATGACAATGGTGGAGCTTGAGTGTGTTTGTGGAGCCAGGCATATCTCTCTTCTGACAATAAGTTCCTTCAGAAATATCTAGCTAGATGGGAATAAAACCAAGGAAAGGGCAACCTCGTGATGCAAAGCCTGACCTTGTGTAGAGTGGTGGAAGAACTCCAACTTCCATCATCCCTTATCGCTTCTGGCCGCCTAAGCTTTTGTAAGAATTCAGCACAACAGATGGTTCCTCTGGATCCAAGCATGTTACAGAGTTTATTCAGCTCAGAAAATGGCCTTGAAAGGACTGATTTGCACTGCCCACCTCCTGTTTTGGGACTGGCCCCTTCTTACTGGATCCTTGTCCCCCCACAGCTACCCAACCTTTTCATTTCCCCAGCGGGTGAGTTATTCTAGGAGAGGGAATATCATATTCTTGTTCCACAATATGACTTAGAAAATGCTCATGTGGAGAGAAAGCAATTGTTAAGTAAGCTTCCCGTCTCCTAAATCAGATGTCAGGTGTTACAAGTTTAAAGAGACCTGCTCAGAGAGCTGTAAACCATGCTGACCCAGCCTCAGCAGTGAGCATACACAGGGCAAGAGCAAGCCTTCTTCACTGTCTTTGACAAGCAATGGTAGACAGAAGACAAGGGTCACTAGGATGCGACTTAGTCTTTTCTCATTATTTAGTGTCAAGTACGCCAACAACAGGGTCATAACATAAATGTTGGGATACTTTTGCGCTTTCCTTCCAGAGAGAGAGGTCATAATTTTAAGAGATTAGCTCCCATTGTAAGAGATCAGCATCCACCAGTGATGGATGGAAGGGGAGGTAGGTTGTGTGAGCCTATTCAAGGCAGTGATTTGGGCTTTCAGTGGGAGAAAGAAGACTTAAGCAGAGGAACCTCACTGGACAGGTAGATCCAAGGGGCTTTAACCCTTTTTTTTGGGTTGCTCATGCTGAGTGATGGTTGTGTGGCTGTCGTGTTGGCTGGTTCTGTCCAAGCGTCTGGTGACAATGAAAGCTGAGGTTTGGCCATCTCCCTTTTTTCTTTCCCTTTTGCTATAGACATTGTTCGCAGTGACATTGCCCTGGATAAGCAGAAAGGCTGTAAGATCGCCCAGCATCCTGACATAATGTTGGAGCTACAGAGGGAAAAGGCAGCTCAGATGCACTTGGTTTTGTTAAAGGAGCAGTTTTCAAACACATACAGCAACCTCACACTAACAGGTAAGGCTGCAAGACCAGCTTTGGAGCCAGGAACTGTGGCTAGTTCTTGCTAACTCACAGCTTCCCCCCCATGTGAATCAGCATCTCTGGCCGCATCTGCTTCCTACCAAGGTTATTGGGTGCTGGGAGGGAACGGATCTTGAGGAAATTGTGGTGGACTCACAGGGCCCCTGCAGTGGGCACTCCAGATTTGGTGCCACTGGGCAGAATGTTTCCTGCAGTCTGATCTAAGCAGAATGCCACAGCACGTGAAGTGCTGTAGTGATCTCCCCGCACACTGTTCACTTCGGTGGGGCTGCAGCAATTACTAAATTTGGAGTCCTTTAAGCTGCAGCTGATTTTTTTTTTTTTTTTTTCAGAGCATGCACTTTGTGTGAACCCAGTAAATATTAAAGAGCAAATATAAAGGGATAATGGCCCAGACAGAGCTGAGAGGATACTCTTTTTCTGGCAACTGTTTGTATTATCCAGGGAACAGAATCTCAAAGGATGGAGGAGACTGCCACATTTTGGATACACATTTAATGGTGCTTGTAAAGGACTGATGTCTGCAGGCAGGGAGTGGGCAGGAGGACGGGATCCCAGCAGCCAGCAGTGTCCTCTCATAGCTGTCCTTATCACTACAGCTGGACGAGCCACAGACGATGAGAAGGAGGAAGAGGCCAATAAATCAAGCGCGATCCCCTTCCCCTCTCGCTGGGTCCCTTTCCTGCGGAAGGCAGGGAGGCATCCATCCCATCTTTATGGGAAGCAGGGCCCCATGCTGGCCCCGCAGCCAGGCTGGGAAAGGGGAACGGGTCCCACACAGCCCCACTGCTGCCACCCCAACCAACCCCAAGCCGTGACAGCAGGGAGCTCTGTCCCCTCTGGGGACATTGGCTTATGGGCCTCTTGGGGATCCTGCAGAGAAGGGATGGCCACAGTAGGTCTGTCTGCGGGCTCAGCCCGTGGGCACCAGGGCCAGGAGTGTGGCTGAACCTACCATTCCTGAAAGCCCAGCATTTAAATGGGATCCTCAGAACCATTTCTCATTCCCTGTAACGTAATCCACTTGGCTGTTTATTCCCAGTACAACTGCTGGAATCAACATTGTCAGCTTTTCCCCTGACAACTTGCTTACTTTCCACTAAACAAACTTCCCTTGAGAAGAGAAGCTGCTCTCCCCTATCCTCCTTCCCTCGCTGCTTCAAAGCCCTCGAGCATTGCTTGCATTTTTTTGCAGAACCTGCGGAGCAGAGGTGCTACCTGGTTATCAGCGCTGCTCTTACCCTTTCCAAGTGTGTTTACAGGAGGGTTCACAAGGGTTTGGCACCAACTCTCCGGGAAAGAGAGAGCAATTTCACTGTCGTATTACCCAAGGAACTATTTTAATGTCCTTTAACTCCCTCTGAATGTGTGCAGAGCAACTTCATAATTGTTATGAAGTTTAATCTTTTATTTCATAGACATCGTCTGAGAACATGGGCTCTAGACAGCTAAGCATAATATTTAACTGGAACTCTACTAACTTGTGTAAATATTTCCCTTCCCCGTGATGGATCTGGTGTTGGGGTGGGCAGAGGGTTGTACATCTGTTGCAGAAGGGCATTCCTTACCTTCCAGATTCGATCAGGCAGAGTTTGCATGAGGACTTCTTTTTGTTCTGCATGTTTCTGTGCGATGCCGGAGGGAGTCCCCAATGGAAGGGCTCAGCATGCAGGGATGGAGTGCCCAGGGATCCCCAAAAACGAGGAGGGATGTGCCCAGGAGCCCCTCAGTCTCATGGAGCTCACGCTCTGCTCTGTGTGGCTCTGCAGACCCGCTGCAGTGTAAGTCAGGATGCACTCAGCAGTCGCACGCAGTCCCCAGTGTGCTTCCAGCCACCCCGCAGGCTGTGTGCCTGCACCGGGAGTTCAGCTGCTCCCAGCAGCAGGTACCTCCCAGGTAAGAGTGTCTTAAAATGCAATGTGTTTTCTGTGCTAAGACACAACTGAGACTGAGTGAAAGCAGGCAAGATTTCTGGCTCTTGCTTCTCCAGGAACACATGTTGTGCTCTGGCTTAGGCCACTTCAATTCCTCTAGACAAGCATGAGCTCTGCTCCTGTCTGCAGTTTTCTCTTGCATCTTGCATTTGTTTTCTGTATGTGATCGTTGCAGGCTTACTACACCTGCCTCCCTGAGATGAGCGATAGCCTTTGATCTGTGATACGGCTCTTTAAACGCTATATAACATTTTGAGGCTTATTAATCTTTGCTGCTTCCCTGTGCTGCTGGGAGATAGGTATTTTGTTTCACATGTCAGTGTCTCCCGTGCTTGTGGGGCAGCTGCGATGGAGCAGGAGGGCACAAGGAGCTACCTGCCCTATGGAAACCACTAGTGGGATGGGGGAGAAAGCTGAATCCTGCCTTAGGACAGGGTGAGGCCACACAGATTGGTTTCGGCACTGTTATTAAGTAAATTCCATTAAGCCTAATGGAAGAGGGAATTGCTCAGGAGGTCAACGGACATATGTGAGAAACTGCCCCCTCCCGATTGCATGAAGTGTTAAGTGTAGCTGAGCTTCCCAAGGTACAAGGATGGACCATAAATAGTGCGTTTGCCTTCAGGAGTTCCCATCCTGAGGAAACAAAACAGTACCTCCCTTCTCCTTCTGAACAGCAGGAAAGCATCTCCTCTTTCTGCTCTGCCGTTTGCTTATGGCTGCAAAGCAGATTGCTTATTGCACCAGCAGCGCTGTGATGACAGCCCTTCAGGCCATCCTACCACAACACATCCACACCAGAAAGACAGAGAACACCTACAGGGTGGGTGCTGGGAACCCCTCCTCCATCACCCTGTGGGACACAACCCCCAAAGGCAGGGATGGAGGAAAGGCCCTTGTGTGTGGTGTTCCCAGCCCTATTGAGAGGCACTGGGAGACTCAGACCAAGGTTGGCTGCTGGGATCAGCAGAGAGGGCTACAAGAGATTGCCTTTCGCCACCTGTTTCCAAGTTGCAGTCAAGTGTTTCACTCTGGCATCCAATTAGTCCTATTAAGGCCATTAGCTAACCCAAACTCTGCCTTAAGAGAGGCTGTGAGCTGTGTGGAAGGTTTTTCTTGGACAGAAGCAGTTTTGGAGATGTCAGCAGCCAAGTAGAAACTCTCTTTGGGGTCAGTTGTAAGAGCACCTAAGGTGATAGTGATGGAGTGGGTGAGGATGCGTGTGCCTGTTTTTCCTAATGAAGAAATACAGAACATTTTGTGTGATGGCATGGAGTAGGAGCAAGGCTAGTGTATCCTTGTGAAGCTCTACAAATGAGAAGCTGACTTTCAGAGGTATGCTTTTCTTCTTTTTTCAGTAATGGTGAGAATTTTCCTTGCTCTTTGGCAGGGACTCTTGTGGCTCAGGTTGAGTACATGGCATATATGTATTTCCTTGCAGACTTCCTCTGGTGGCCAGTAGTTGTACGCATCCTGCTGAATGCTGTTGTGCTGGGCGGTGGTAGTCCTGGAGAATACGTCTGTAGGGTGGACCCTTGTGCTGGTGGGACATGTTTTGGGGCTGCCTTTACAGGGTGTGGGCTGGGTGTGTTTTTGTTGCCAATGCAGGATGCTCAGCTCATTTTGCTGGTGTTGCCCTAGGTGTGTATACTTCTACCCCTATTTATAACTAGGCTTCACTGAGGACTTGTATGGCTGAAGTGGAGAGGTGCATCTTGTGAGACAGGCTTAAGATCAAGCTGTCTGCCCTCCCCTCTGCTGTAGACCATAATGTTATTCATGTTATCCATAGCACCACAAAGAATGCATCTGAAAAGGACCCCAAGAGATGGTCTTCTAGCCTTCTCCATGACAAGTCAGCTGTAGGGGGGCCCTGTCTGGGGAGGGGTGGCTGGGGAGAGGCAGTGCTGCTGATCTGACCAGCTGGTACAGTCAGAGCACACCTCTGGGGGCTCAGAGCCTTCGTCAGAGCTTACACAGGAAAAGCAGCATTCAAAGCTAAATATGCATGGAAAGCTATGTCCCTGGGTTCCTCTCACTGATTGATACAGCGCGTTGAGGTACTGGTGGAGGAGTCGTGTCACTGAGAGGAGGATGGCAATGTTAGCCCCTGTGGGGAAGAGAGGGAGAATATAAATGCTGTGAAACACTGTGGGATTTTCCTGAGGAAGGATTGTGAAAACTGCAATGTGCCATAAAAGTGCTATCTGCACTGAGCCTGTAGATAATGACCAGCAGAGCTGCAGAGTCCCTTTTTGAGATGGTTTGCAGGTGTCTTCTGAGATGTCAGCATCTGAATTGCAGGGATGGTGCTGGCAAACACGCTGTAAAAACATTCCCTTGTAACTAAGTGGTTCTGTGTCTTTATCAGCTGTTTATATGAGCTCATTCTGAAGCGAAGTGGATGTTTGTTTTTGCTACGCGGCTTTCTGAGGGCATTTGGCTGAAATACATTGTGTCCTAGGGCACGTTTGTGTGAAGCCAGCAGGCTGCAGGAGCCCAGGGGCTGGGCACCAGCATTGCACTGCTCTCTGGGGCATCGTTGTTAACAGACCTGCACAACGTGGCTTTATCTTTGTTCTCACACCTCCTGCGATGGGGAGTCCATCCCCTGCTCAGCAGTCAGCCCTAGGGTGCAGCCATCATGGTGAGGCTGGACTTTCTACAATCTCTTGGCTCGGTTGAAGCCCATTACACCATGTCTTCTCTCTGAGGATGAGCAGAGCAGCTCAGTGCTCCTTTCCTCCCTATAGAAATCTTTTACGTATTTGAGGCTTCATATTGTGTTTCCCCTAAAGACTTTTGTGCTCAACACCAAACAATTGGCTTTCCTCTGTTCATGGCCATGTTATTTTCAAGTTGAATGACACATACATGGTTGATTCTGCCTCTTGAGGTCCCTTTCAGCACTCTGCATTTTTTTTTTTTGTGGCTCTGTGTTTTGCTGGGTTCCCTTGGGCTCTTCCACTTGGTCTGGGCTTCTTTGAAGCGAGTTGCCTCAAAATGAGCCCAGTGTTGTAGCTGAAGAGCAGCAGGATT